GGAGAAATAAGGTTCTTCAACATATTTCTTCATTTTAAGAACATTTTCAAACATGAACTGTTACCTCTAAAAAACTGAATTAAGAACTATTAAGGACCTATGAGTTGTAATCTTGCCCCAAAGTTTTAATTAGAAAATAATTAAAGTGGCAGTCAGTTTCATCTTGTTTATTACAAATTCTCCCTTACTGCAGTTCTTTATCTTTTTGCAGACCATATTGATGATTTTTCCCCAGCAAACTGAGATATTAGTTTATCTTGGTGAGGGAGGGGATATATTGACTGGAGAACTAACTCCTCAGGTTTGCTGGGTGCTGTTGTCCCCCATGGACTTGAGTATTATTCCACGTTTCTATAGCTGTGACTATATCTGTGTTACAAAATTTCTTTGGCAACTTAAATTCAACAATTTGCCTCCTTTCACTGATGCTTCTGTTCTTGAAAGGTTGATAGCATAGTGTTATAAAAGAGAGAGGAGGATAGGATTTCATAAAATACTTTCTGGGCTCTTGAAGAAACAGCTTCTTACCAGGCTTTACATTCCATTAGGGTTTTTAAGGTTTGGCTTAAAGGATTTTTAAAGGGTTCATTTATAGTGTCAAAGTCTTTTTCAGTTAATTTAGAGGGATTTTTTGTGTGTGTGTGTGAGGTGGTTATACTGTGGCATAAAAGGTCTTTTTCATTTTATAAGAACAGATTTACTTGGCAGAGTTAATTATTTTTTTTTTTTGAAGGGCTATAGCTAGTCAGGGAAGCCCTCTTCTACCGTGAACTTTTCTGGGGCAGGGGATGTCAAAGGTGTTTCTTGACCTACTGTGGTGCTAAACCCAGTCACTGGAACCTTCCTTTTTTTGCATGCCCCCTCCAACTAACTCAGTTAACAGGGAGGAAATGAATGATTCCACATATTTGTTATCTTCCAAGAAATAACCTGAAAATTTCAGGAAGTGGTTATCGAGAGCAAAATATTCTTACTATCAGTAAGGTAGGTGATTTTATACCATATCTTAATAGAAAAAAACTCTTTATTAGAAAGAACTGCTTAAATTAATGACCTGAACTAGTGAGAATTTTGCAGTATACAAAGAAAGTACAAGATTGTTGAATCTTTCCTGGTTTCTGATTGCTGCACTGGTTATGGGAGTCTAGCGAAAAGGAAAACTGCTGTTCCTGTCTTGTGGGTTGACAAAAAATTTTCATTTCTAAAATATAAAAAGTCCTGAGTCAATTCTTTGAAATACCAATTTCATCAGAATGCAAAAAATCACAATCTAAAAATAGACATTTTCTTACTTTTTCTTTTTCCCCCTCACTTTATAGAGGCATGATTTGGAGACAAGCAATGGACTTTTTTTTTTAAAGCCAAATCCAGAGCTTCCACCTTCTGTGCATTGCATGTATTATATGCCACCTTTGAGTTAAAAATCTCAAAATTTGAGAAACCTCCAATAACCTATTGGATTTTTCCCTTTTCCAATTGTGTTTGTGTGTTCATGCACATTTGTTAATTATAGGGGTGGAGACTTTTTAAACTTTAGTAACTTCTCGAATAACTATGTTTTATATATCTACTGTGTTTCTGGTGAGAGAAGAGAAGCTGAAGGTGGTCTTTATTTTCTTACTAAATTTACTATGTGTTTTGAACAGAAGGAATCATAACAAGTGATGGGGCTTGTGTGCAAGCCTGGTGATATTTTATGGAGCTATCTTCCTTCAGAGATCAAACAAGACTACAAATTTATTAATTGATCACTGTCCCATTTGACAAAAGTAGGGCCCTTTAAATTCTGGAAAACAGCATAATAATATGACAAATATTTATTCTTGGGAGATAAGGCCCAGGGGAACCTGTCCAGGAATTAGAGTTTGGGTTTAGATAAATTATCCAGATGCAAAAGGAGAATTTAAAATTTCTCTTTGTATTTGTTTCTGGTCTTCATAATAACTAGTATTTTAGTAGTGCTTTGAAATTGGAAAATCCTGTCTTTATTGGTTATCTCGAAATAAGTCATTTTATTAACTCTCTTTTCTACCTTCAGTTATCAAGCAGCTTTTTATGACTATCTTTCACGGAGCAGTTTGTCTGTTTTGTAAAGCAGAATTTTGCTTTGGGATCAAGGTAGACTGTCACTCTCTGTCTGTAGGCCTTGAGGATCAGTATGTTGGAAAAAAATCCTTTCTCCATGGTCAGCAAATCGCTGGTGAGTTCTGTCTGGGTACCAGTAATCAGAACCTGAAGACCAAACAGCCACACTGACTGGTACCCCACTTTGAAATATGTGCAAGATGTAGTGATGGAAAGCTCTTCTTGGTTGTCCACAGAGTATCTGTCTCAGCTCAGCCAAAGGTTAACTTCGGTGAGAGATATTTTCGAAGAACCTTACAGCCTTCCAATTGCAGGGTCACTTTGTGATGCTTTTTTGCCAGTGCTAATTTTACCTCATCAGACTTATATTGTTTCAGCTGTAAACTTTAATATAATATATTGAATTTGCTGGGGCATTTAATTTTCTTTTTTAAGCACTTTTCCTCCTTGTAGTAATTTTCTCATCTGGTATACATATACACATTTAAAACAAATAATTATTTGGCCTCCTTACTTTTACTTCTGTGGCTGCTCTTGGTGGAGTTAAGGTCATAAACAATTTTATTATTATTTTTTTATGGTGCTATCGAGAGCACCAATTTCATTTGGACTCTGCTCAAGAGGGAGCTTAAAGCTGCAGGGTAAGGGGCTTATTTTATACACAAATTAGAAAACATGATTCTGAAAAAATAAAAAAGGAAACAAAAATCAAGTTTTGTGAGGTTGGGAAGAGAAGGAGAAGGAAATCTCTCTCCATCCCCTACTTCCACCATTTTCTCTTTGTTTGCAGTTTCCCCAAGTGCTGCCTGTCGTGATTTTCTTTCTTTCTACTCCTTTCATGCTTTGACATTGAAATATAGACTCTTTTTCCTACTTTTCAGGATATTTTTCCCATTACTACTGTAGAATGTTCCTAAATTTTTTATTTTTATTTTTATTTTTTTTATCTGAAGAGTAACAAATCAGATCAACCCCAACTCTTCTCTTTTAAGACTAGGCGACTTGAGGGCATAGCAAAATTAATTGCCGGGTTTTTTTTATCTTGAGGTTAGAACCTGATTCAAGAGTTCCTGAAGGAGCTGAACTAGATGGCTTGAGGACTTAGCAATTTATTGAAATATTTTGCTGGCTACTGTCTCTGTCTCTATCCTGATCTTTGTTTTTCTGTGTCTACTGGTCATTTTGGCA